GGCAAGGCGGATGCTGCAGGGACGCGAGATTCTTGGCAACGGAACGGTTTGCCTCCTAACTCCGTACCACCATAAGGATCGCGGTCGTCGGATGTTTATATTCGTGATAGTGTCTCTCTCTGTCCCCAAATAACCGGCCCGATGTCGACCGATTCCCGTGGAGGTACGACATATTGGACGCCTCCAAATAGCGGCCGGCCTGGTCGTTGAGAGAAAGAAATATCGTCGCGTGTACTCTAGCATCGCGAACACGAGATCGCGGTTACCGGCAAGTTAATATTACCCTTTCGCGCGGGACAAATTGCCGTTCCGCGCCGCGATAGAGACGAACGCGTTAACCGTAATCAAGGTACTATGAAAATTTTACGGTCGCCCTCTCACCGGTGGATACGAGCGAGAAACGAGTGGCTATGTTCCACGGGACAACCGTAAATGCAGACGTAGATATGAATTCGGCATGACTTTTACGACCGATTCCGTACCGTATTCCGCCATTCGAGATTGCTACTCGGCCGCGTCCGTTATTGCCTCGCGTTGAAAAACGATCGAAAGCTAATGTCCTCGCCGGCGGCGCGGACCAACCTCTGCTTCTCTAACAATCTATTTCCGTTGCAAAACTGCTGGAGAACAACGAACCTGTTTACCTCGGGAAATGCTTCGCGTAGCTTTCGGCAACGCGATTAATCCTTCCGTCGCGTCGCGTCCTCAGATACGCGTTAGATACTATAAATAGGGAAAGATACAGCATGCTGAACGACGATCGGTTCTAATCTTTGTCTGGCGAGGGGTATGGAATAATTTCATTATTCATTAACTAGCTGACTGATGGGTAACTTGAGGATTCTCAACGGATAATAAGAAACTATCCTTAAAATCCTAAACATTGCAATTTCAAATATCCAGAAAAATAAATGTCATTTGCTCAGAAAAATTTTAATTAGTTCGGCAATTAATGTATCAGTATTTTAATTTGAAGGAAACAATATAATTGCTAGGAACAGGTCCTTTTTTGACAGCAACGTTTAGGTATTGCACGAGTATCATTCTTTAGAGTGATTCAGAATTATTAGAAGTGGCAGCCTAATTTCGCTTTTGGCACGGCGATACGTAATTAGGCTTGGCGCCGTAATTGGCGTAAATAATATCCATCGCTGGCTTCGCCAACTGGGTACTCAAGTTGCGAGTCATAAACACATTGTGCCGTAGCGACGACGCGTTTAGAACCGCACCGTGAAGTCGTAAACTTAACATATCGCCTACGAAACGCCGTTACTAAGATCTTTCCCTTATCTTTCATCTCTTTACACTCTACATCGATTTATTCGCCAATAGAACGTACAATTAGAATGAAAGCAATCCATTCGCGTTACTTAGCGAATGCTTTCCGAACGGAAACAGCTGAGATATTTCGATGAATTGGATATAAAATTATACGAGCAATTGAAAGCAACATTGAAATCCAAGTGCTTCGAAAAATTCGTGGTATTTCCAAATACTATTCTGTTCACCGACTTCATCCCAACACAGATAACTTGGGATTGAAAATAGCCAAAGAATCTTGGCGCCGTTAAAAAAATACTCAATTCCTTTCATTTCGAAAAATACCTCTTACATTTTATGATAAGTGAAATGGATAAGTACCTGCTATCATTTTCACAGCACCGGTCAGGGTGTTAAATTATTTTGATCAACGAAACTGTCTAACAAAGAAAGCAACAGTAAGTGACAGAAAACATCAAAGATCAACGGAGCTGTAACGTTACTGTGAGAGGGAATAATAAATTGTCTTACTCCTCCCGGATCTTTTGAGGTCTTACTCTGACAAGGGTAGTTAGCAGCGAAAAAAGAGAAACACGTTTTCGGTAAAAGCTACCTAGGAATCTTGGCGCCGGTATTACCAGCTCGCGTTGCTCGATTTTTCCAACACACAAACCGCCATTATGCAATGTCGCTATGAACTATGATTGTTATTTTAGGATATGTCTTGCCGTGAAATACAGTTTGAACATTAAGCTTGTTATACATTGAGTTATTCCATCTCTCGTTTGGCGTGATTAATTGCCTGATATCTCCTTTCAAATTGGGGTAAAAAGAATTATAATTAACGCAATATAGGTCCTTTTTTTTTTAATGATAATTTATCTCTTTTTGAATAACTATTACATAAAAAACATCATAAAAAAAAAAAAAAAAAAATGTTGGTAACCAAGGATTTGAACCAAGGACCTTAAGATTACGAGTCGTGTGTTACGCAATCTGAAGGTCCTCGGTTCAAATCCTTGGTTCCCAACAATTTTTTTTTTTTTCTTTATGATAATTTTTATGTAATAGTTATTCAAAAAGAGACAAATTATCATTAAAAAAAAAAAAATAATATTGGGAACCAAGGATTTGAACCGTGGATCTCGAGATTGCGAGTTGTATGTGTGAGTTTGTCATAGTTCAGAATGTAAGATGTAACTAACTGTAATTGTTAATATCTCTTAAACAATTAACCGTCTGCCCCCCCAAAGAGGGTATAGGCATGCTTAGCTCGACGAACTCTACAAACTGTCAAAGTTTCATTAATAAGTGAGTGTAACACTTGGGTAGTTCCCCTTGTTTTACCTAATACAGTCATGACAGAGTACGTTCCTGCATAATGATACACGCGTTTATAGCTGAACATGATACACGGTTATCTGTTTGAGAGTAGAACGCGTGCTTGCCCCTGGCTCGGCTATCTAATATCGTTCGCCATTGCGTCGACGTACCAATTATGATACAATTGTACGCACTGTGTACTCGCGTATTTTCATCTCTACGACCCTCCTCCTATTAATTCTCCCTACACCATCCACAATTCGCTTTCTACATTTCATATCGTGCAATCTACATTAACTCGAAACAGATACCACGCGTTGAATGTGCCTTTGTAAATGCGATGAAACCTTGAACGTGGAATAATCCTTCCAATCGCCAGAGGATGTTCTTTGAAAATTTTGTAACACAATTATTTCTTGTGGTGGTTGATGGAATGATAGCATGAAAAAAACAAGGAACAGGCAAAAGTTTACAGCTGATGACTTACTAGAAAACACTCTTTCCGTGAATTTTCAAACATGTCAGCGGATGATACAGAAAAGCAAATGCATGCACCGAACAAGCCAAAAGTAACTGCCGCGTTCGCTACGCCCATCTCAATGCTATAAATCACTCTCTTCTGGAAGGAAATCTCCATTTGGCAAAGTTCTCGGTTTGCGACAGCGGAAAGAATGAACACGAGCATTGATCAAAGAGATATCGAGCGAACGAAACTTTTGCCCGATGCCAAACGCGGTTCTACGACCTTTGGAAGACTAGAATTCCAGAGTAAACCGCATTCTTAAATTGAAACACACGTTTTTACCTATTGGATCGTTGAAATTTCAAATTTTGGCAAGCCTTGACCAATCGATACTCAACGCGGATAGCTCTTCCACTTAAAATTAGCGAAATAGATATTTACCGAAACATTCGAGCGCTAATCAGTTGCTCGACTTATCTATAGTTATTTACCCTTTCCAAAACTGAAATAGCGGATAGCTGGAAGAAAACGGTATACAAGATTGACGCAATACGCCGAGTAATAAACTCGTTTCCAGCGAAAATAATCGGCGCGACATAGAGTCGAGGAAACGTCAGCAGGTGCACGTGGGTGCATATGTCAAACGTCGAAACGTGTTAGAAGGTTTCGTCGGCAAGTTCGACGGTGCGTATCGTCGGGAATATGAACTGGACCGAGCGTGCGTGGACCCGTTCCAAAGTAAAGCCACTCGGCATTCATCATGTTTGGATTATTCGCCTGGGATTTTCGTCTCTCGCCTCGTCTCCTCGCTAAATTTATGTGCCGGCGATCATTACGCGCTCTGCCCGCTCTATCGACTAATTCGCCCGCCTACCTCACCCGTACCGTGCACCTACCGTGTCGTTTGAACGCGCGAAATCCTCGTCTTCGTATAGCTCGACCAGCTGCCACCAACGATTCTCTCCCTCTTGCAATTACGAGAAACCGGCGCTAAAACGTGCCAGTCTTACTGGCTAATGAGCCAGTAAATAAATAATAGCATTGATTGCAGCCGGCTCTAACGATACGTTCGCGATTCCCGCGAATTATGACCACGCGTGTGCACGGATAATATTATCAGGGCACTAAATAGCAATACTTGAAGTGCTCAAGTTAAGTGAGATTCTATGTACAATTTAACGATAATAAGCTATCTGTATGTTTTATGTAACTACTGTTAATGTTAATGAGTGACATTATCGTTAGCAGCTATTCATCCTGTTACGTATATTAATTCGTGATACTTCCATCATAATTCGCGTGTGCCATAAACGTTTTAATGTCAGCAATTATCCGAGGAGGATGATGGTGTACCTTTAGCCGCTTTCCAGCAGTGTCCTAAATTACAGGGAAAGTGTACGGAGCTTTGATACTCCTGAGCAATGCGGATAGAGGTATCACGCGTGCTTCCGTGAAAGATGTTGTTCCTTTTGTTCCTGTGGCACCTTAGATCGTGTTACCAGGTGCCATGGCTACGTGACGTTAACATTTATTTATCTGGCCGGGTTGACGCGTTAACTAATATCAGACACCGGATATCAGACGAATAAACAGAGAGCTGCGGTCGATGGTAACCGAAGACGTTTTACAGTACCACAGCCTTTGGCTTCCTGCTCCAAGGTTGCCCGCGTACCGACCCGACATTGTTCGTGATCATCTATTTTCTGCTGTCCATCGATCGGAATCCATTTCATACGCGGAAGAACGGTCCCTGTCCACGGGACAACCGTTACACATAGGTGTGCTCGGGTTTATTTCGTTTTTATTTTATTTTTATTGCGGAATTTCGAGTTTCCAGACTGCCCCACTACCTCCCAACGGCCTTATTAACCCTTTCGCTATGAATTTATTTTATAATTAATTGCCACCGCCCCTGTATATCAAATACCGAATACTATGATTCAGCTACCCTCGAAACAAAATCCTATAGAAGAAAGGAAACAAAACATATTCCGTTTACAGTTACCGATACAATTTTTGAAAGATTTACGAGTGACGAGGGTTATTTTGATATTCTCAATGTTGAAATTTATTGGTAAAGGATGGCTGTACGATTGGCGTCCGATACAATACGTTAGTAGTGGAATTACTTTCTTCCTTCATTTATGATATTATTGTAATAATGTATCTGTTTATTCAGGTACATTGTATGCCATTAAATGCATGAAAAAGGATAGCAAGCATCGGTCACAATCCCCAGTTTATAAGGATAATACACCAAATACGTGTAAAGAAGAAAATATGAGACAAACGTTGTCAAAATCGTTCACAAGTTCCATACATTCTGAATCCAGTGATAACGCGCTTATTTTTAAAGTTCATCCAAGTGATCTACCTCTACGGAACGATGTGAAACAACGAACAGAATGCAACGAGCTTAACGATATTTTAGCTAAATGGAATGTTTATAAACCGAAGAAATAGTGTTCTTAGAAATACCTTTGGTCGTCCCAATTCGTGTACCGACTTTCGTATAAATTGTCCATATATTATGTAAAATAACGATTCTAATAAGTAGCTATTATAATTCTCATAGATCTCATAATTAAGTAAGAAAAAATGAATATTAAAAAATTACTAGCAAGTGTGTCAAGATAAGAGATCTATAGTAAATTATATTTAAGTATGTAAAATAAAGATAAACATATTTATTTATTAACTGTATTGCGTTTATTTTGTAAGATTGATCAAATATTTTATAAATACCTCGATATTCCATCGAAAGGGTAATGAGATAATCGAGGTACCACCAAATTACAAAGCCCTTAATACTTTGTCCATGATTTATGATTTGCGTGGGCGTGTACAATGGAACGAGCACGTGCAAATTCGATGCTTGTGCTTAACGGTAACAACGCGCCACGCGACGCGACCCGTACTGATCCGGTCCTTTCGAGCCATGAAAGCTCGTGTTTGTGTCTGTTTGACAAGCGGTCAAGCCACTTTGTCACATATACGACGTGCTCACGTTAAATAATTCCGACCCGGGGTTACGCGCCCGTTCTCATTGATATTCCATTTATAAGGAGCGCGAGTAAACACTATCAATATTCGCGAGTAGGCGCCGTATAGACAGTGGTTAATATCTGCTTTCTATCTCCATAGAAATTCTATTTTTATATCTCCATTACCTCGTGCAAGTGATTACTTTTGTTTTGACACTCGATCTTGTTTTTAGTAGAAAATCTAACGTTACAAGGAAACGTTAGTTTCGAGAATAGATAGTGCTTCGAATAAAACAAACCCGGAAGAGTGATATAATAATAGACCAAGAAGTTAATAATGTGGAGGATAATTGCAATAGGCATCCCTTTTTCTGATTCTGTAATTAGGCGACCATGGTCGTTCTAAGTGACACTAATGATTCCGGGATAAGTTACCTATACGTTTACAGACAATTTTAATTTCTATTATTACAACCCTTTGAAGCCATCAAACAAAACATGTTATAATGACAATTGTGATGAGGATAGATTTTTTTTCATAATCGTATTGACATGGATACCGTACAGTGGTCGAGTGTTTTTCTTTCTGAAGGAATCTCGGTCAAAGCCAGTTCCTTCTTAAACTCTAAAGAGATACTTCGCGAAGCGAATATGACACCCACCAAATTTACGTTCGTGAACTCTGGTGAACTCCTGAACTCGTTGTCTCATCTTTTCTTTACGGACAATGACGAAGGAATGGCACTCATCGTTGTGCGTGTCATTGCTTACTGTACTTGTGTGTCGGGCTTACGGGACTTTAGGACACACTTCTACCTCCTTTTTGCATTGCAAATTGCTCAACTCGCAATTTAAACGCCCTCGCAATTGAATTAAAGTCGACACGTGAAGTGCGGTAAGATAAGATGTATTTCGTTTTAGTTAGAAGAATTGTTAACGTTTTGTATAAATCAAAATATTGTTTAACAACAATGTATCTCGTGGTATTAAGTGAAAAAAAAGAAGAAAAAAATAAAAAATTATTCAACTAGCAGAGCGTGGTTTCGATCCACGGACCTCTGGGTTATGGGCCCAGCACGCTTCCACTGCGCCACTCTGCTCTTCGATTCAGAGTTCTAAACTCGAGTATAAAACAAGCAATCAATCTCTTTCATTACTTAAACATAATGACATAGATCATTAATAGAATAATAATAATGACACAAAGACATGTGATATCATTATTATCCTTCTTGCTCTGAAATACTTGCTATCAAACTTTATTGATCAGAATATTGCAGTTTATTATTTCATATGACTGCAAAGGTTTATTCAACTGACCTACTTCCTAACATAATTTCCTGCCACTTGTCCCATCAGTCTCCTATCTTATTTCTACTAACAGCCAAAAATTTTTTGTCCCGAAATCTGAGCTAGTTTTAGACATTTGTTTTCACTTCGTGCTGGGTCAAGTATAAAAAAATCTGATGGAGCAAGTTCTGGACTGTTCAACCGGATATGACAAAATCCTCCAGCCTAATTTATTATAAAACGACCCTCGAACATGCACGCCTAATTCAACAATCGTCTTTCGTCCACAATTTAATTGATTACAAATTCCAAGCGACACCGATGGAAGAAACAATTAAGATAAATCTACTAAAACGGGCTACCGTAATTGAAAACAATTTTGTTCGGATGCTACCTACACATACCCCGAAGCGAGTAGCCTAAGCTGTGCAGCGTAGATCAACCACCTGGGTCGATGTATGGAGATGCAGCGGATGCAAATAAGTATCTCACTCGATCCAGGTGTGCTCCCCTTTTAAGATCAGCGATCTTAAACTAGCCCTCGCCTATATAGCATCCATCGAGACACGTGCTTCAAGTGAAGCAGTGAAACTACCTTATTGCTAGTCTGTACCGATACTTCGAAGCTTCTTCCGAAGCTGTAGTTAATTACCGATGTCCATTTGGGTTTTACGAACGATCGAGACAGGTTCAGAAGAACTGTGCGGACACTTGGGTTTAAGAAATTTATCGAAACGAATGAACGTCTGTTACGACATAGGATGGAATGATATTTCAATACTAATAGACATGCAATTAAATCGAGCATTATTTCCCTACGTTTTCTCCCCGAAGAAGGCTAGTACGCGGTGCATTGTACGAATTGTACGAGTAAGTGCATAAAGCGTAACAAAGTAAAATGCGCGTGCGTGGGGAGCCGGTGACTCCCCCGATGCAGTTCCTGGTGACGTCTGACTAAGCGTTCTATTTCGACCCACCCTCAGAGGCCGTGTGAGTAATCCCCAGACCGCATATATCCGCGCAGGTGGAACTCGTTCGAGGATTCTGCGAGTTTTGGATAGATGACCGGAAAGTCATATTCATACGCGGCGGACCCTATAATTATCATTGTGATATTATTAACCCCTTTCCTGTTTTAGGATTACGACGCGGCGTTGGTAAGTGTCAGGCAAAGCGAGTAAAAATTGAACCCTAGCAGCTTTTAAAATGATTTTGTAGAGAAATAAAAATGAACGAAAATCATGAAAAGTTAAATGTTACACGCGTTAGGTTCGATAGTTCCTACGTTAATTTTCCGTACCGTTCAACAAGGTTCTGTATTATTTTCCTGACTGAGGGTTTCATACGTGAACCATTAATCATCTCGCGAAACAGCGACTTGTACGGCATGGTCCGACCGGATCCACGAGTACTTTCTGATTTTCTGCAATTAATTTATCATTTCGTAAATCACGTAGGCGGTGATTTTTCCCTGACGCATCGTTAATATCGTTTACAAAGTGTTACGAACGAAGTAGACAGGTGTTCCTGTCGGAACAGAATTCCAGTTTCCATGTGGAGCAAGGGAAAGCGCTAATAAAGCTATCTTCTCACAGACGTCGCAGCAGGGCAAAAATAACATGATATTAGCATTCAAGATCTTTCTTTCCGTCGCAACCAGCGTATTTGAATATAATGTCGTTTCTATTTCACCGCAATCGCGTGCAAAGAAACGTTCGATTTATTCCCCTTTCTTTTTCCCATGAAAACACGAAATAAATAGTAACTAATGACATTAGTTACCATGGTTTGCGGTTTGCAAAAGAAACCCCCTTATTCGACTATAGCAATCGTGCAAGTGGTGCCTTTTTATGCTGAAGACGAGCAATCAAGGATTGTTCTACATTTATAAACAGAAAGTAAATAGAGAATGCTAAAAAATTTTCAGAATTTTCTATACAATACAATCATTCAATTTATGCATTATTAGGCTGGTCTGATTAGTTTTGGAAACCAGAGCGAGAAATAGATTTCTGATCACTTTAATTGAAAAAGAGATTCGTATTATGGAATCTAATTTTATAGATATTTGGTATGTTGAAAGAACGATACACACACGTATGTCCATGAACAGTGACAGGAAGTAACGAGAAAGTACTGGAAATGCTGACTTGCAGTTTTCTCTCTACCAGAAATGAAGATAAGGAAGGAAGTAAAAGGAAGAAGTTTTCTACTGACCACACAAAAGAAAAAGATAAAAATAGTAGACTCCGCTATACCATTACCTTCTATTAAAAAATACTATCATCTAAATAAAATCTAACTATGCACATCTCTCAAAGGGGTTTATAAACATCTCTTAATAACAGTATCTAAAATCGGACAGAAGGAAACGTTTAATCGTGATCATTGCGTTGTCCAAACAAGCATATCTTAGCTCATTCCATTCGAGTTCATCTTCGTGATGCAAGCACAATGCTCGATTACTCAAACGCACACTCGTCGCGACCTTGCTCGGCATTATTATGCACGCGTACGAACATTTGTATTATCCAGAAAAGAAAAGAAAAAAAAATCGGATTCCCTTGACTGGTCGAGCGTTATCTCGCACGGTGGGGCATTAAATCAAAGTGCATACTCTTGTATGGGTGCAAAGAGTTGCATACGAGACTGCAGCTTCGCTGTGATTCGAGCATGCACTTAACAAGTCGCCCACGTGGCTCGCATCGATTCTTGGCGATGCTCTCTCGTCCCGGTGCATCGGATGCACTGGTCGCGTGCACGCGCGCGAAATGGAGTGCATTAGAAGAGCGGTGCACCGCGTCACGTCACTTCTTTAATGCAAATTTCAACCGTTCTCGTGGTAGAAAAAGGGATTCGCGATACCAAACATGGTGGCCGTCGGTACGCGTAAATGGTCACCACGGAAAATTCTGAAACCGCACGCTACTTTCTGCTGTCTTGCCAAGGATGTGCAAGGTCCTCGCAAAAGGGATTGCCCTCTGCACGAATGCCGTGTCGCGGAGAAAGTTCCTTGAAACGAATTAACATTCCGTTTCCACCAGTTTTTCTTCAATTCCCCGCACGGTACTTTTAGCCGCGGGAAAAATAATCCTCGAGTCTGATTGTGTCTCTCGTACAAGATAAACTATACGATCGTTGGTACTATTTTAAAGAGCAGCTCAAATATGAGAAGCATAGATGATCAAATACTTTTGAACTAATCCGTGAGTACTAATTGTGATATCTTTTCCAATCAAGCGTTTATTAATCGTTACAAGTAAGATCGCGCGCAATTTTCTACGTGTGCAATTCAGGTAATCGTAGGTACATGAAATCACGGTATAATGGAGGTGGTTGCATAACGCGTTACGATATTGCTTACACTTTAATGTTACACGTACGCGTA